AAGTTCCGGAATTGTGATGAATCAATCTCCTTAAAACGTTTTTCATCGCGGCACACTTGAAACGCTTGCTGCAATCTTGCTCCTTTATATTGCAGTTGACTTTCTCAGCTCACATTATTTGCATTATCCATCCACGCCACTCGCTGCACGTTAAAGATACTGACAGTAGCCATTACTTCTAGAAACAGAAAATATCTACTATTTTTCAGAGTAATAAGTCGCTTTGTTTTCTCCAGGTACGTTTCACGAGCGAATGTACGCAACACAGTTAGCCACGTAATACTTGGCACTCAGCAATACCGGCCATCAGAATTCGCGACTAATATAACCTTAAATCTGGATAATGCTTGGGGCATCTTGCGTTGTATGATTGACAACTGCATGAAACAACCGCCTGGGAAATATCTTTTGCTAAAGGACCCCAATAAGGTTCCATTATTAAATCCATTTTCATTGAATAATTTTCACGACTAGTGGAGAACTCCTTAAATGTTTATCTACTTTTAGCAAGCGTTACGCTTATACTCACTTCCGGAAGGCACATTTGAATCCAGCGAAGAAGAGAGCGAAAGCAATGGGTCAGACGACGGAACGTAAAAAAACTCGTCTAAATTGAAATTCGATGCCTATAACTACGTTCGCTTTTCATAATGATACAGTTGATATTACTGGTTGGGTGTTGTTTGTTTTTGTCCTCTATCTCGTCTTTTGGGTAGTGATATATCTTGAAAATGAAATTACAGTGTTACGAAAGAGCCAATTCAACTCTGCATAAATTTTTTTATTCACATTCAGACGACACTCCTGCTTTACTTTACAGCCGCATGAGTTGAGTGTTACTTAAAAGATTGCTGTTCTGTTTCATAGGGGCAAAAGGTAACACCGTTACGCTAGTTAACAATAGGATGGAGCCAGCAGTGATAACGATTGGACCAGCGTCGTCAGCTGGATTTGGGCAGAACTCACTCGTCGTACTGATCCTCAAGTTCCATTTCATCCACCGGAGCAATCAGTTCATTTTGAACTTTGCCTAAATTTAACGCTGGTAGAAATACTTATCACCACTGGCGTTACGCGGCCTGATGTTTACATTAGAGCACGATAGTTCCAACAGTGATTTCAGAAAACTTACAATTTGATGGGATTTTTTCACGGTTTATAACAATGGAGGATGTGATTTCGGCGCCGTCTTCAATCACGACTTCTCCGCAAATAATTGAGTTTGATATATGCACTCTGAAGATTTCCTTCATTATTACTGTGAACTCAGAGACTCCTTTACATTCTACTGCGTGAGCCCTCTCATTAACACTTGCAAGATATGTAAGTAATAAGTCTTCAATAATAACTAGGTTGTTAAGTTACCTTGAACCAATGTTACACGATTCCATGATCACTGAGCCTGTAATTAGAGCTCGGGCTCCAACATAGGTGTTGTTACCAATGACAGAACGTTTCACTATAGTTTTTTCTCCTCTAAATCCACTCGCCTCTCCAGACTGAGTATCCGCAAAACAAGCAGACGAGCTTATATAGCTTTCCGAAGCTGTTATATTTCCACAGTCTTCGGTCTTCAGCCCTGCGGGAAACTGGTTGCTGAATCTTGTCCAAAGAAATCGTATAATCTTAATGAGTTTTTCACTTGACAAGAATCCTGATAGAACAACGAAGTCAGGCACAACTTGTGGTCCGGTTCCTTCACAACCAGGTCAAGTTTTGTAAAAAAGTCGTTTTCAACTTTTGGTAAATAAAATAATTAACTAACTGCCTTATTTGCTTCAAAGTACGCTCCAAGATTGTTTACATGAGCGGTGATAGCTCCATTTTCCGGAGTCACCAAGTAAGCAAAACACCGCAGCTGCGGCGTTATTTCAAATTCATCGGATCCATAACTAAATTTGGTGACTAGACTCGGAAGCCCGTCAGAAATCAGGTGGGAAGCAACATCTGTAAGGTGGAGGAATATCGTTTGAAGAACTACTGCTTTAAGGAAGGAATTCAAGTCACACAAACACCAGTATTAGGGTAGAAAAGGAAATTAAAGGCAAAACCTGGTTCAGCCCTACAATACCCTCTTTCCAGGATGTACGGCAATAGGTCGGCTTTTACGGATGACATCTTCCTGCAAGAAAATCGTCAAAAGAGTATCTATAAATTA